GTCGATCGACCCCGCCGTCAAAGTTGAGCCGTCGCAGACTTCGTCAGCAATGCGTAGGTTGATTGCAAGGCCGGAATTGGTTCCCCTTGTGCCCATGCCTCTCCCCATCCCATCTTATCTCCAGCAACCTCGCCGATGCACCAACTCCGGTAGCGCGATAGTCACCTCTCTCCACTCGTGAGGTGTTTGACGATTTGCCCCAATGCATTTTTTCATTTTCTCGGGTTTTCTTCATATATGGGCTCAATTTGAGTACTAGCCCGTTGCATAGTGTAGATGAAGATGTTGTGGGAAACATTTTTCAAAGACTCTTTTCCCGAGGAGGTACACAAAGAAAATGATGACGATGATTTAAAGATGGTGGTGGTCATGATCATCCGAGGGGGGAGCAAACTATTCGTATAGTTTTCTGTATTGTGGCTATGCATGACCTCGTCCTGATTTATCATACGCGATGAGTTTGGTCAATAGATACATGTCTAATCCTGGTAAAGAACACTGGAAGATTGTTTACTAAATTTTTAGGTACGTTCGTGACACTTCCGATGCTTATTAGAAGTTCAACGAGGCTAGCGAGGGACTTGTTGGCTACATGGATTTAGATTTTGCTTCTAGTGATCTAGATGAGAGGAGGTCCTTACAGGTTATGTTTTCATTATTGATGATTGTGCTGTGAGCTGGAAGTCAACATTATAGCCAGTAGTTTCTCCCATATGTAGCACCGAAGCAGAATACATGACTATTGTAGAAGCATGTAAAGAATCAGTTTTGGGTTGAATGGTTTGTATGTTGGCTGTTGGGCTTTGTGGATGAGCAAGATAAAACAATACATACACGAAAAAAAAAGTGTTCACACGTCGTCCAGAGCCTGCCGAGCCCGCGGCGGCGAAATCGCGCGCCAAAAATTGGCGCGCTCAGCTTTGGCAGGGCCGGCGTTGGCGCCATCCAACCAGCCCATTTCACGCCCGCGGCTCCCGCTGGCAAGTACTCATCTCGAGCCCGCCCAGCCCCCTCGCTCTCTCTCCCAAACCTCCCAGTTTCCATAGCCGCCGCCAAGCCGAAGCGCCGGACCCTTCAGCGCCGCCGAACCCGCCGACTGCTCTCACCAAGGCGGGTACGACATCTCGAACCCCCCTCTCCTTCTCCTGCCTCACGTTCCCTACGGGTCTACGGGATCGGTGTGTCCCCATCGATTTCTTCTGCCGTGGCATGGAAGCCCCTAGCGCAGCTTGCTTGGATAGATCCGACCGAGTCGCATCCAGTTTAAATCGGTCCTCGCTTGCCGTGACCAATCGAATCCGGAAACACAATTTTGTGGGTGGTCTCATTCGGTGGCGGTGATTCCTTTCTTCCATCGGAGCTCTCGCTCCTTACCGGATTTGTTTCTGGCATGACCTTGTTAATACATCTATCAATTGATCGATATGATTGAGTTACTTCTACAGAAAGTGCGAGATCGATCCACGGTAGCGTAGGGATCTGATGTGCATATGGCCCTCGTCGGAAACCAATGAAATGCAGGGCTATGAACAAGCATGTGATTTAGAGAGGTCATTCTGTCAGCTATATATGAGCAGATTTTGATAACACAAGTTGTGGATGCTGTCACTGGCCGTAGTGGTTCTGCTATGATTTATGATAGCCGCCAAACTGTTTGGTTAATCAGCATGTAGCTCATCCCTAAAAGTTTTATGTGGCTGATACTCTGTAGCATGGTTACATCTTATCAGTACCACAGCTTTAGCTACACTGCCAGGGCACTATGTGTAATCTTCTTCCATGTGGTTGCTTGGCATGATGGAATGACTATGAGATGTGTCAATTTACTTATTCTCCATGCTATCTGATGACAATGCTGAATTGAGTTGATAAGTTTGATGCCACACCATGCAGAGATGGATACTTCAGCTCCTTCGCCATTTGTCAATGGAGAGACTCTGAAGACGTTTCTTGGGCGACGAGTGCGCACAGTGGTTCAAGTCCAACACAATGAAGGTGGAGTTCTTCTCGGGCTGTCCACTGATGGGCATCAGTTGACTATCAGAGGTGCTTCTGGTGCCCCTGAACCACCACACTACATCGAGGTTATTGGGATCGCTGACAGCAGCCTGTCCATTCGTGCTGAATCTTGCACTGATTTTGGTGAAAACTTTGGTGAGATTTGATGTGTCTTTGGATTATAGTGTCTTTCTTTGCACTTCACTACAATTAATGTGATTGTTGGTTAATTCTTCTTGCTGCAATGAGGTTTGACTTTCAATTTTTCAAAATTCAACTTTGTTTTCTTTTACATAATTCCATAGACATAAGAGGAGCTGTACCTATATTGATGTTCCATTACCACCTTAGATCAGTGAGGAGAAGGTGAATGAATATGAAGCATACATTTTCAGTACTCTATGAATGAGCTTTGTTCCTGAACCGGTTGCTACTTACCGCATGGCTTTGTTATTCTTTGTTTACGTCAACATATATTAATACATGTCTCGTTCAAATCTAATTTTGTTTGAGAGCATCGGAGGAACCCAGGTGACTACTTGTGTTTACCTAAATTCTAAGTTTAGAAGCTGTTTCCCTTTATTCTCTGGAACAACCAAAACCGTAAAGCCAAAACTGACTTAATCTATTGGGCAGGACGAGTATCCGCCTAGTTATTTTTCTTGAGATGCTCTAATTAACTTAGCTTCATCCTTGAAATGGTGCCTCATTTATTACTTGACCATCATATTTGGATTGATGTCAAGGTGACAGCAAACATTATTTATCATGGGAAGAGAATTTATTGTAGCTTATGAGCAATCATTCTGAATAAGTAGGATTATTTACTTATTTAGCTCACCAGTGCAGCATTTCTTATGACAGCTTTCCAAGACATCTTCATTAACAAGGGCATTTCTGCCTTTTGTATTATTTTATTCTGCACTTCTGACACACAGAAATAATTCTACTTAGACCTTCTTTTTCTTGAGTCAACATCTTTGTTTGTGATCCAACATTATCTATCTCTTTTCAGAACCTCATTGATCTCCCAACCATGTTAATCTTGCAGATGGTGTGGCATTCAACGGGCTATGCAAGCTTGTGAACGACAAGTACAATTACCTGTTCCTGTAGAATTCAGCATCACACAGAAGATGTTTGGAAAATCAAGCATGCTCGTCATCGATGATGTGTTTGCCGCTTTAAGATCTGTTCAAATGTTACTTCACTCGCATCAGTAATCTGTTACTTAGGGTCAACTTTGCGCACTTATCAGGACATGTTGACCTAATCTATGTAGTAGCTGTATGAGGGCAAGTGTGTGTGCGCCCCTTGCAGTTGGAGAGCCTATAGCTTTTGCTGCTTCTAAGCAAAGTAAACCAAAGCTTTATGTTGCTATCACATGGATTTGGACCCTGGAAGGTTTATGTTACTATCTTGCAGATGGTGTGTGATGATCCCGAATGCACCTTGATGATTTCTGATGAATCCTTCATAGAATCATAGTCCAGACTACTTCCAAGCTGAATGCTTTGCTGGAAAATATATCCGTTGATCAAACAGGTCCTGTTGAACATGATTTGTGAACTCTATACTGAATGTCTGAAGCCACACAAAACTGATGGTGGTGAATTCAAGCGAGCTTTTTTGGTTGGTGTTGGATTATCAGTTGAAATTTCCTCCAGGTTCAGTGTAGCACAAGACCAATTTTATGATCTAATCAAGTGGTGATCTAAAAAGTCTTATATTTGTTTGCAGAGGGAGTATCAATCCTTTCCCTGCAATTCGTAGCATTCTTGAGTACTTTTCACCGTTCCACCAAACAGCCTGTCGCCTTCAGCAGGCAGGCTCACTCCTGAAGCCAAGAAAATGAACTTGCGACTCACTAACTAGACTACATGTGAATCATTCCTTTGAACTGAGAGAAAAATTGATCAAGAAGCCCCTGCCGACACCAACTTGACAGCAAGGTAACCACTCGTGATGTAAAACTGAAAAATGATGCCACTCTCCTACCCCAATAAAAGGTGTACTGAAACCATGGATTCAATGGATCATGATTGCACTAGGAAACATAATAACAAAATCAAAGAGACAGAACAGAAGGAAAAACCAGCTCTTTGTGGAACTACTTATGGAAAGGGACAATAGGGATTTAGAAGAAAACCTCTTAAATCGTCCACAAGCCAAAGAGGCCAAAGGCTTCAATGCCACTAAAACTTTGAGAACAAGTACAGTCCCCATCATGATGCACAGAGAAAAAATAGCATCGCCATTTGGTTTTCGAAAGAAGATGCCTACGATTTTGAATTACGCCATTTGTCACTTCTCTTGATGGTGTGTGACAACGGGACTCGCAAAAAATAGAGGTACGCGCTTTAGATATGTAGTAACTCCCTTCTTCTATCTTTTTGTTGCTGACCTCAGTAACTTCCTTCTATTTAAAATGTAAGGTGCATTTTAGTTCGTTAAAACAAGGTTTTAATTGTGATTTACTTTGTTAATATATGATTTATGTGAATAATATTAATGGCATTAAACTTGTAGTAGTATTAAAAGCCGCATACATGAGATTGCAGTATTGATCCAGTAATTGTTTTTGTTTGCAGGATTGTTTGTCAGAGCCTTTATAACAAATAGGGAAAATGCACATTACATTTGGACGGATGGAGTAAGAAAAAAATGTACTCAATCTGATTTGTATCATAGATAAATCTAAGACAAGTAATATGGGTCGGAGAGAGTAACACGAAACACAACGAATAGTGGAGAATGAAATTCAGGACAAAGATGTTTATTCCTTACAATATGAAGTAAGGAATTGATATGGGTAACAATTATCCTTCAATCAAATAAAAGGACTCTCACATAGCAAAGATTGAGCCGGCTGAACAAAATCATACTGTATTTGCGATGTATACATAACATTGTTTCCATTTTGCACTGGGGATAAAAGCGCATCAAATATTTTTCAGATAAGCCCTGAAACTATGCCTCGCCACTTGCCAGACGTGCCGAGATCACCGCGTGGAGAGGGGGTGCATGGACTTTGCGAGCCCGTAGCTCCGGGCTCCTAGGCCGAGGCATCCAAGAACCAGGCCTTGCCGGTACGGCAGAGACGTTGTGCGCCGCCGCGGCGCCTCATCGCGCCCCGCGCCGCCCGGTGCTGCCCTGACCGACGAAACTGACCGGCGAGCAGGCTGCGGCGCCGGGGAGGGCAGAGCTTTCTTGGCCCGCGCCGGCCAGATAGATGGCAGCCAGGATCCTGACCTCTCGGCGGCGGTGGTAATAGGGGCCGGCGGCCTCATCGAGGGATCGCTGCAGGTGCGGCCGAGGAGGTCCCGCAGCGATATCCTCCGCCGCATGGTCTTGGCAGAGGAAGAGGAGGAGGAGGATGACGACGACGCTGATGCCAAGAAGTCGGCAGGCTCTGCAGTCTTGGCGAGCCGCGGGCTCCGGGGCGGCGAAGCCGACCTGGTCCGGCGAGGCCGCGGCGAGCGGCCTTCGACGCCGCCCTCGTCTTCACCGTCCTCCCCCTGCTGCTCCCTGCAATCCGTTTCTTGGCGGATGGGGGAGAGGCCACCTACGCGGATGCGGCCGGATAGGAACAGCTCCTCGGCGGAGCTCATGGTGGTGGTGGCGCCGGCGCCGTCGATACCGCGGTGGCGCGCGGCGAACTCGAAGTCGCCGGGGGCCGTGCAGAAGTCTCCATCCGTGGAGGGAGCGTAGTGGACCGACGCGGAGGACGCTGGCGGCGAACGGAGGATGTAGTGCACGGGGCTGGCCGGGGCGCTGAAGAAGTAATGGATGCCTCCGCCGTCTTCGTCACACTCACCGTCTCGCCCGGAGCAGAGGTAGCGTGTGGGGCTGGAAGGCGCGGTGGCGAGGCCGCTCTCGCTGTCAGCGTGGCCCTGCATTTCGATCGACGCCGGCAGTGCGCCGTCTGAGGTTTTCCGGCGAAGGCGAGGGGCCGAGCCGGCGAGACGAGACTGACGGGGGAGGACCGATCGTGGAGGGGCAGCGGGCGGTATATGTAACGGCGGGGTTGCGTGTCTTGGTACGTGGCTTCGTGGGGCTTTGGTCAAGTAGAACCACCTGTTTTTTCATCCTACCGGTCGGTCGACTGATGTTTTCAAATGATCGACTGGGGCGCCAGCCGTTGGATCCATCGTGAGATCCTGACGAGGCTTGTAACCATGTTACGCTTGAAGGTTTGGAACACATGTTATGTTTGCGCTCGGTCTGATCCACCTAACGAGGTATGCAACATGGGTCATGATGTGCTCGAAGGTTTACAACATGGGTCATGTTGTGCTTAGGAGATTTGCATCATGAGCCATGTTGCGCTCAAAGATTTGCATGATGAGTGCTTTACAACATGAGTCATGTTGCGTTTGGGAGGTTTGCAAAGAATTAATATGTGAGTGAAGCCATATAGGCAAAGCATGAAAAATATGCACCAGTGCTCTCCCATGACCACAAGAACTCTCGGCGGTAGAATTCGACGAATTCCTTGCCCTCCGCGATCATCCGGTCAGTGCTGGTCCCCAGTGAATCTTCATGGGTCCGATTGACATCCATCTCTAGCGGGCCTGCCTGGATTCGGCTAACCCTTGTTTTCATTGGTGTGTTTGCAAGTATGGCTATTCCAATCCATGCTTCTCATCGTCAGGGGCGGTTAATGTTCTTATGCGTCGGTTCTTTAAGATTTTAACACAATAATATTTCGATTGTTTATTACAACAAAGATTGCACGGCTTTGATAAAGAAGGGATGATGACGATGACGCCTTCAGATCATCCCACTGCATGAAGTCGTCGCTAGATGGTCTAAGAACCTAGTTGTAATTTTTGTTACCAATGAGAATCTGTGTACAACCATTGTTACACTTATATGAAAAGTTTGGAGATTTTTTTCGCAAAATGGTAATATCTTAATCCAGACTGAAAACTCATATATTCAAATGCAAAACGAGGGCCGGGCTAGTGTCAACTAAACTCATCATCTTCTCTTCTTTTGCGGGTAAACTAAACTCATCTTTAATTAGCCTCTAGCCCTTCACTATATGGATCATCCCAATGCCTCAACTTTTTTCAACGGCTTGAACTCGAAAGAATAACCTAGCCAGCGCCTTCAATCTATACGGGGTGGGGTCAAACCGTTGTTTAGGGCATCTTCAACAGGTTGTATGTTAGTCTTATTGATAAAATGTCCAGTCATCAACCAATAAGCTATCATACAACTACTTCAATGGGTTGTATCTAAGGTATCCAATAGATGATGAGAAAATAAATGTGATTGCTCTCTATTTCATCTTAGAGTTTGTGCAAAGGTTGTTGATTATTCTATATACAATTTTGCTCTCTCTCCACATTTATTACATGCCACATCATCACTTTGTCCTAGGTGGCAAATTTACGAACACGACTCGTTGATCCAACCCCCATGATCGTGAGGAGCACGAGGCCGCATAACGGGCGCTGCCTGCCAGTCTGCCACGCAGAAACGCTAAACAAAAGTATTTTTTTCCGAGACGATCAGGGAGAGGGAGACGACGCGCAGGTGTGTGCGAGAGAGAGTGAGGCGAGCAATCTACGGCGAGGCGTACCGGAGGAGCGGACGGTGGCTGGTCAGTAGTAGTATTAAAATGGCTCGTAGTGGACGCCCGGATTTTGGCGACTCGCCCGAGCAGAGACGGAGCCTGTCGTTGGTGCTTAAACCAAAGTTCAATCCAGGTACCAGGGCGAGACCAAGACATAAACACATTGCGGGTGCATCTCTTTGACAGCCGCATCTAAATTAGTCAGACATAAACCCACGGCTCTCGTAAGTTTCTATTGGACTGCAATATCATAATTTGACCAGTGGTAAGCCTAGCGTATTATGATCTTTTTAAGAAATCATCATATTTGTAGTATCATATGTGGACTAAGGGCATCTTCAATGCCAACCCGCAAACCTCCCGCATGTGTCCGGACCGTGCTGTCCGGACAGCAAAAGTCATTCAAAATGGTCCGGACGCGATTTCTCTCGCAAACTGGAGACAAACACGAGGTGCTTTACCGGAGTTTGGACCAATTCCACGTCAACTTTTGACACCCTTGGCCCACCAAAACCCCTCCTCCCTCGCCCACGCACGTGCCCGTCCGGTGACAGCTCCCCGCAATCATGCCGCTGTAGTGCGTGCCGCTCAACGTTTGAAGACGGCTCAGGGCGAACGCGACCTCTCACTGCCTCTGCCATTGAAGCGGCGCACCGGTCGAGGACCCGTCCGCGACGCGTCTCCGATGTCTGCGCCTGTTCAATGCCGGAGACGTGTGATTGGATGAGATGGGACAAATATCTACCATACCCTTTCAATGTCGATGTCCGTCCGTATGCCACCATTTGTAGCACCATATGTCAATACGTGGGAATACTTTTGTGTTAGAAATATGAAACCAAGGTAGTTGAGTTTATTGTTTTTCAAAAGGTTGATTTTCAATCATCCGACTAGTTGATTGAAAAAGACAGATGGCAACTCATATCCCTAGCTTTGATGGTTAGGTTCGGAACCAGCCAACCAAAGTTCTACATTTTGTTTCGAATTTGAACATATGAATTTCTTGTGCCAACTTTGATCCTTCCCAAAAATATTTTGCAGTTCCAAAATGGTGCCCAGGCGTGTTGTGTGCTCTACGCAGTACGCTCTGACCATACAACATAAAGTTCTATCCTATATCCTTTGTCTTTTTTCCGGGGGCATTTTGAAACCCTAACTAACTGCAGCAGGCCGAAGTAATCCATCCTTGGATTGCAAGTCCAAAAAAGTGCCATTTGGATGGAGAGAGACCGATCCATCTTCGATCTGCCGACGATTGCTTCTCGGGCCCTGCCGGGTTAGTTGCAGTGAGGCCGGCATGTTTAGCGCAGCGGTCGGCTGTTGAAGACGACAACGGATTAATCAGAGCATAATTTTCGTCTAATCTGTAATCAACGGGGAACTAAAGAAATCGAAACCACTGGTTCGAATTAGTTTAAGGGCACTATCACATCTTTTTCTCCTCTTCTTTTGTTCTTTCTGGCCATCGTTGTCGCTGTATTCTTGCCACGAGATATAGCAGGTGTCGACGAATTAGAGCGGATTATTTGTGGAGCCTAATTGAATTGCATTGGTACGTTGGAGGAATGGAGTCGTGGTTGTTGGAGGTCAGGGTTAGAATTTGGTCGGCAACCTACTACCGCCGTCTGAAGCGTATAGGCAGAAACGTGTTCAGGTGGCGAGATCGTCGGAGGGATGGCGACTCGGGGGGCGACTTCGGGGCTGACTCCGGGGATCGCCGCTGCTAACTCCGCCGGCCGGTTTTGGGCGCTGGCCGAGGCTGGCACCGGCGACTCTGACGACGACGATGGCGATTCGGATGGCGGGCCTGAGGGCACGTCGTCCCCCACCCCATCTGATGCGATTTGCAAGCCCTGCGGGTGGGATATCCTGAGGAAGAGGTGGCTCTGCTGGTGGACATGGCGATTCCGTCCGACGATCCGGCGAGGAGTGGCTTGCGGGCAGAGGACAAGATCGAAATCGTTAGACGCGTGGTTCATCGACGGACGGCGGCTATATCGCCGTGGAAGGGGCCCTAAGGTGAGTCTTCCAAAACCGATTTTATCAGATTTCATTACGGAAGGGTCGTGGAAGATAGTGAAGAGGAAGAAGCAACGGCGGCCGTCGGCGGCGCAGGCGCCGGCGCCGGCGATCGATCGATCGTGCGTGATCCGAGCGAAGCGGACCACACGTTTGAATATGTTGCTGGGCTCTGATGGGATGGAAGCGGCGGGCCGCGACGTGGCCGTGCCTGCGCTTGGGCCGTTGGGCCTGGGAGAGATGTTGGCGGGTGGGCTTGGATTAGTGGGGTCTGTGGCCCAGGCAAAACCGGCTCCCTGCGATCTGCCTGAGGAGGCCGACGTGCATGAGGAGGCATCAGATCGAGTCCAGTCGCATGCACGAGCGTCTCCTCTATTCTGCAGCGGCGCTTTTTCTAGGGTTCGCCGCCGCGAGAGACAAGGCTTCCTTGCTATTGCCGTTGGGCGTGCGAGGAAGATTCCTGGCCCGTCCGGCGATTTCGCGGTGTTGCCGGTCGGCGGGTTCGTGATGCGGCAAAGGCTCCGCCACCGGCAAAGACTGCGCCTGTGATGAAGACGGCCTCGGGGGCTGCTGGAGCTGCTCCGATGCATGGTCCGGCCGCGCTGGTGCCCGCGCGGGCCGCGGTGCCTGCTGCCAGGGCTTCGGCAGCTGTTCCGGTGCATGCTTCGGCTCCGGCCGCGCCGGCGCACGCGCGGGCCGCGGTGCCCCCAGGGCTGCGCCCCCCCGCCGCAACACACTTGGCCTAGGCAGATGGCCGGTGGGCGGGGTGGTTCTGATCATGGGGCGGGTGGCCGCGGTACGGGAGCTTTCGCGGGAGACAGCCGTAATACTCCTCGTGGACAGTGGGGAGACGATGGTTTTAATGCTACGGAAAAGGCCTTCATTGAGGTTCGTCGTCTACCGGTGGTGGGCGCGGCTATGCTTGGACAGTTCGCGGGGCTGGTGGTAGAGGTTTTCAAGAACCGCCGGGAAACTTTGTGGAGGGAGCGGTTGGCCCCAATAACCGTTTCCGGGGCCACTTCCGTGGAGGTCGTGGCGGCTACTGGCGCCCTCCTCCTCCGCGTCCTCTGCCCGCTGCTACAGGTTCAGAGACGAGCCTAGAGGAGATGCCTACTCATGGTTCGGTATTACCCACGGTTGCGGTGGAGACTGTTCGGGCCTTGGCCGATGTGACGGTGCCGGAGCCCATTCAGCATGGTGATACTGCGTCTGACAAAGGTATGAAAAAGTCCGATGGTGACAAACCGTCCAAGTGGGCGGTTAAGAAGAAAAAGTTGACCTGTTTTCGTTGCGGTG